CATTGAGGTAAGCCTGAGGCATGATGGGCCCCTTGACTTGACGCTGGGACCGGAAAGGGCTTAGTGGAACTTTTTCCGGTGCTCAGCATCTTCTGTTGGACATTGACGGGGTGGGGTGGGCAGTGCCTCCAGGGTGTCTGGGAGAACTCAGCACTCCTGTGGCAAGGCTAGGTGGACCTGGATTCAGGACACATGGACCGCCCTGGAGTAGAGTCTTTCCCTTGGCCCATCTCATATCTGTGCCCAGTGTAGTCTGAAAATATGGGGATCCTTGCTCAAAAGCGAAAAAAAAAAAGGCCTTTTCTTTCTTTACCTGAGATTTCTTCATCAGTCATGGTGTTCTTTCTTTGCTATTTAATGTCATGTTCTCTGGGTCATGGGCTTGCCTCGTAGCTCAGTTGGTAAAGAATCCGCCTGCAGTTCAGGAGACCCCAGTTCAATTCCTGGGTGGTGAAGATCCCTGGAGAAGGGATAGGCTACCCACTCCAGTATTCTTGGGCTGCCCTTGAGGCTCAGCTGGTAAAGAAGCCGCCTGCAATGCGGGAGACCTGGATTCGATCCCTGCATTGCAAAGATCCCCCTGGAAAAGGGAACAGCTACCCACTCCAGTATTGTGGCCTGGAGAATTCCATGGACTGTACAGTCCTTGGGGTTGCAAAGAGTCGGACACGACTGAGTGACTTTCACTTTTTCTCTGGATCATGGGGATATTTGTGGGGTGAATGCAATATCCCACTGTTGCCAGGGGTCTTGCCTGGTGACTTGGCACACAGGGTGTGTGTGACCCACCTGGATGCCTGCGCCCGGGACCCCTCCTGGAATGAGGGCAGGTGTGGTCACTGCATTGCAGCAGGGCAGTGGGCAGCTGAGACCCCATCCTGGGGAGGCAGAGAGGAGGTAGGGGTTGAGACCTCTGATGAACCTAGGCTCTGATTCCCTGATGCATGCTCCACTGACCCATGAAATGTCACTTACAAAACACAATTCAAAGATAAAATTAATAAGAAATAATTCAAGACAGCAAGCAGCCGTGGAACACTGGAGCCGCCTCCTGAGTGCGTGGCTCGGGGGACTGCCTTCGCTACACACCCCGAAGCTTGCTCTGGGACAAGACACACAGGTCACAAGGCCTCTGCAGCTGAAGCCTCCCTGGGCTGGAGCTATATGAACACAGATGTCCCACCCAACCGGGGGGCAACAGTCCACTTACAATCTACTCAGACAGCAGCTTCGTTTTCACAGTTCTCCTTTTACAGCACACTGTATATTTATTGAGTAAATGCTTTGGGCCAGGCACTCCATTACACATAAGGGTTGCTGCTGGTTTAGAGTCATGTCTGACTCTGGTAAACCCATGGACTGCAGCCCGCCAGGCTCCTTTGTCCATGGGATTTCCCAGGCAAGAATATAGGACTGGGTTGCCATTTTCCTCTCCGAGGGATCTAATCCTAATCCAGGGATCAAACCCTCATCTCCTACATGGCAAGCGGATTCTGTACCATTGAGCCACCGGGACACCCACATGTAAGGGTTACAGATACAGAAAAAGATCCCTGCCCTCCTGGAGCTTATATTCTGGCACAGGAAATAAGCAACTAATAAGATACATAAATTAAATATATATATATATATATATATATATATATACACATATGTATGTGGCTTGTTAGATAGTAGTAGGTGGTAAGAAGAGAAATTAAAGAGAGAGAGAGCGTGTCAGTGGAGGTGGCACTGACAGGGGGTGGGTGAGTGTTAGAATTTTAGAAGTTGAGGTTTGGGAAAGTGACATTTGAGCAGGTCACCTCGCCTGAGTTGGGGGAGAGAGAGGCCAGGGGCCACACTTGTTCTTTATCCTGTATTCTCCTCCTTGTAAATACTACCTACGGGCCGATCAAGGTCCTCAGGATTTGTGAGTGCTGTGCAACACCATCTTTTTTGGTCAAAATTTGCGTATATAACATTCAATTTTGGTAAAAGTCATTTTAAAGATTGGAAATGTCATATTAAAAATATGCTGGTTAGAAACCTTTTTTTTCCCTTGTAATGTTTATGAATTCAGTTTTCTTTGAAGCAGATACTTCATTGATTGTCATATTTTTAGAGACTCAGGAAAGTTATCTTTGGCATCTTCCAACGATGAAACACTTTCTGCAATGATCCTTCCCCCTTCATCCTTTTGGTCCCTCAATAGGGTTTCTTCTCACAAAAGCAAGGCAGAATGTTAAGCAATAAAAACGTAAAGAAAATCCCCAAATAACAGTGGCTTATATAAGACAGATATATCTTTCCCATGAATAAAATGTCTGGGGAAAGCTGGTTCATGAATAGCCTGTACAATGGCTCCAGGCTGTATAGGCTTCCAACCTTCTGCTCTACCATCCTCAAAATCACCTAATGGTTCAGGCTGACCACAGGAGCTCCAGCCATCACATCCATACCCTAGGAAGGAAGATAGGTAAGCAGAATGACTCATTCCCTGCCTTTTAAGAAAATTTCCATAAAATCCCTCACAACACATACACACATAATGTGAATTGAAAGGACTGATGCTGAAGCTGAAGCTTCAATACTTTGGCCACCTGACTCATTGGAAAAGACCCTGATCCTGGTAAAGGTTGAGGGCAGGAGGAGAAGGGGGTGACAGAGAATGAGATGGTTGAATGGCATCATTGACTCAATGGACATGAATCTGAGCAAATTCCAGAGATTGTGAAGGACAGAGAAGCCTGCCGTGCTGCAGTCCATGAGGCTGCAGGGAGTCAGATAGGACTGAGTGAACAACAACCAAATACATATATAACATTATTACATTATGGCTGGAACTTAGTCACATGGCCACACCCTCCTATCACGGAGACTTGGAAAATCAGTAAAGGCATTGAATTGGGTAACAGTTTCGGTAGAAACAGATATTTTGTTACTTGGGAGGGAGAGAATAGATGTTGGGGAGAGTTTCTAGTAAGTTCTGCCATACTCACCAGCTTCAGTTTCTTTTGAAGTTAATGATGGCTATGAATCTCAGGAAAATAAATCAATGCCTAAGCCCTAGGGCCTTGAAAAGCTACATTTTAAGGTGTTCTCATCCTAACTTTTAAAAAATCAAATGGAAAACTCCAATGGGGAATTAGATTCTGTCATCTTTATTATTTCGGTATGTTTATTTCAATAGTCTTCCATTTCAGCTGCTTTGGAATTGCACAGGTAAGGAGCCAAATGAAAGATTTCACTGTTGTGCTTTACAGCAGAAAATAATTTTTTAAAACTTTCATTTGAGAATGGAAATAATAGCGCTGGGTTGATTGTCAAGGTATGAGTTTAAGTTCTACACTCTGAAGAAAACATTTCCAAATGGACATCTTAAATTTTCTTTTTCTGTTGAAAATAATTGCCAGCAAAGAAAGCATCTTTCTATTGCTGACCCATGCCACAATGCAATATCAATGCAGGCAGTTTTTATAGAGTATGAGTGGCTTTCTGATGGAAAGCTAATGTGTTTTTGTTTAAAAAAAAGAAAGAAAGAAAATGAGGTCTATTTTCTGAGCTCTTGAGTGAGAGTACACCTTCCTCTTGAAGATTCATTTTCTTTCTTTCTAATAGTGACAGACATTGTCTGCCAGCACAGCAACACAAGAAAAATGTTATGCTTCAGTTCAAATGACTCCAGGCCACTGCAATGTCAGTGTTCCTTTGTGCCCAGCGACCTAGGGATTAAACTGCTAATATTTTATTCGAGAGGGGTTTTCCTTTATAATTAGAGAAGTTTTCAGGAATATTGTATTAACACAAAGCTACATGTCATTTGTGAATCTCTTTGCTTTATTAAAATATATTTATCTCTGAATTAGAGCTAGCTTAACATAATTTTTTCCTACTTAATAATTTAAAAGGTTCCTTGTCTCTAATCCTGGTCTCAGTGATGGAAATCCTGCAGACTCAAACCTGTACCATATGACGAATCCATAAAAGAAGTCTCTCATATCCCCCAGCTGGATATAAGTGGAAATATAGTTTAATTGTTTGACATATGAGGATGACTGGCATTAAATCTAGTCTAGAAATCTTCCCTTTTGTAATAAATCATCTCATTCCAAAGAAACACTGTGAAAGAGATAACCTATCTGTTCATGGACTTAAACTTCTTTCCTCTCACTTTAGGGAGTCTTTTCTTGATGATGCTTCGTTATTTCCCTGGAACGTTTCTGTACCACCTCTGACATCCATCTTTTCTGAGTTCAGCTACAGAATGGTTTAGTATAATCCTTTCTTACTGGCATACAAACATGCTGTTGTAGAAAAAGGAAAATTCAAGTTTTCTCAAAATACATTGTCGTCGGGTGGAATAGTCTTTGATTTCAAAGGGATTCAAAATGGCAAATTTGTTGCTTCCATTCTTTTAAATCCATTCTTTGATTTTGCTTCTGCTGGAGTTTCTGCTGGCTGGAGAGCCTGCCTGTGTCCCTGCAGAACTGTTATCCCTTGCTCTGTGCCCCTGGGGCAGCCTATGCCTGTAGGGACTACTTCCGGCTCCCTTGCATTATGGTCACCCATTCGGTTTGGCCAATGGGAGGTCCTGGCAGAGACTGCAGAGAGCACAGAGGGGTCAGGATATTTCCTCTGGCTTGTTCCCTAGCTCCTGCCAGGTGGCCCTCCCTACAATAACTCCTCTCTCTCCAGGATTTGGTAATGACTCCCCATTACTGCCAGCTCAGGGTTGTTTCACCATCCTTGTTGGTTTTCTTCTGCCCACACCTGTGTAAAGAATTGCAGTGTTCCCCTTTGTGTGTGCTATGTATTTGTCTGGGACACCGACATGCGAGTCTTCTTGTGACAGCCTTTACGGGGAGAGTGGTTATTTTGACTCTGACTTCTTTTTTGGAAATGTTTTCATCATGAATAGAATTTCATGACAAAAGGCTCAGGACCTTTTAAGCTCTCCTTGCTGTTTTTCACTCCTAGAGTTGTAAATTGTTTACATTCCCGGAGAAAGTAAAAGAGGAAGGATGGCAATCTGCAAGGTAGTTGTACAATTCAACCAGTTCTCAAGCCAGGCTGCTGACATCTTGCTAGAGCTTCCGGAGGTGTGGCAAGTAGTGGTCTTAGCGCTGCCGCCCAGGGCCAGATGAATGTGGTACTGGATGTACCCTAACCCTGGCAGCACCTTCTTTCCTGTAGCCACGAGTGCTGCAGGGGGCATGGACTCCTGCTAACTGCCCGACCTGCTTGCTTTCCCACGCCGTCAGCCTCCAGCGTGCTGACCCTGACACTTCAAGAGAACTCAGGCAAAGCCCTTAAAGTGCTCTGAAGCTGATGCTAATCATCTGTCCTAAAAGGTTGGGTGAAAAATTCACTTGTTTTGAGCACATTTTTTTTTTCCAGGTTCATCACAGAAACCAAAGCCATCAGGTTTGGCTTCAAGTTGGTTACTTATGCTATTTTTCTTTTCCCCCATAATTGGGATGTGAAGCGAAAGCTGCTTCAGTTCAGTTCAGTTCAGTCGCTCAGTCATGTCCGACTCTTTGCGACCCCATGAATCACAGCCGCCAGGCCTCCCTGTCCATCACCAACTCCCGGAGTCTACCCAAACCCATGCCCATCGAGTCGGTGATGCCATCCAGCCATCTCATCCTCTGTTGTCCCCTTCTCCTCCTGCCCCCAATCCCTCCCAGCATCAGGGTCTTTTCCAATGAGTCAACTCTTCGCATGAGGTGGCCAAAGTATTGGAGTTTCTGCTTCAGCATCAGTCCTTCCATTGAACACCCAGGACTGATCTCCTTTAGGATGGACTGGTTAGATCTCCTTGCAGTCCAAGGGACTCTCAAGAGTCTTCTCCAACACGACAGTTCAAAAGCATCAATTCTTCTGTGATCAGCTTTCCTCACAGTCCAACTCTCACATCCATACATGACCACTGGAAAAACCATAGCCTTGACCAGATGAAACTTTGTTGGCAAAGTAATGTCTCTGCTTTTTAATATGCTATCTAGGTTGGTCATAACTTTCCTTCCAAGGAGTAAGCGTCTTTTAATTTCATGGCTGCAGTCACCATCTTAGTTGTGTCCAACTCTTTGCGGACTCTGTGGACTACAGTCCATGGAATTCTCCAGGCCAGAATACTGGAGTGGGTAGTCTTTCCCTTTTCCAGTGGATCTTCCCAACCCAGGAATTGAACCGGGGTCTCCTGCATTGCAGGCAGATTCTTTACCAGCTGAGCTACCAGGGAAGCCCATAACTGGGATGGATGACTTATTTAACAAGTGTGGTGAGGCCAGTAAGTTGTGGTCTTCCAATAACTTCTATTAGCAAGGACTATTTCTGAAAAAACAAATCTTAAAAGTAGAGAAGGCCTTGGTATTCAGACTTACTCCAGACATCTTTTATAGAAACATCTGAAAGTTGTGTGTTTTCTTGGTCCCAGCTAGAAAGATGGAAAAGGCTGGGGAATGGGTCACTGGGTTATAATACTGACATTGAGAGCCTGTGCTTTAATTCCAAAAGAGTGAGTCCTGTAACTTCTTGTCCCCTGGTCTTCCCTTCAATCATTGGAGATAATACTTACTTGACAAAACTGATAAGAATACAATGAGACAGTGGATAGTAAAATGCTTTGAAAATTAAAGAATTCTAAAAACTCAAATTATTGTTGCTGCCTAAAAAAATATTGTCTAAAACAGTGGTCTTTAATCTTTTGTGGGTGAGGAATGCTTTTAGATAATTGATGACAACTGCAGACCATATCTCCAGAAAAGTACAAACCATCAGAGGATTTTCTCTTATAATTTCAAGGTATCTGTGATGCTGAAGCCTGTCAAGTCTTGGAAAAATTTCAGAAGATACATCTTATTTTCTTTTTAAAGACTGCTAAATGCAAAAGTTAATGTAAGTGTTAGATATGATTTTCATCAGCATTCATTTATAACACTTGACATTTAAAATCTTCACAAGATATATAAATTACAAACTAAAAGAAAAAGAAACGAAAGAAAAGATCAGACTATTCTAAGTTCTTGTACAAAATTTACATGTGTTAGGTTATTGAAGTAGAATAATGATGGTTGAAAAGATCCTGAAGTATAAAAATCAAGAAAGCTAACTCATTCAATACATATTTCTCGAGCACCTGTATGTACCAAGGGCTATTGGAAGTGCTCAGAATTTATTAGCACATACATTAGAATCAAACAGTCAAAATATATAAAATACAGAGATGATACCTTCTGTTCAAGCTCTGGATAATGTATGAATCCTGGCAGTCAGTGAGTTCATTAATTACATAATTCATGCTTTACTCCTTATGTGGACAACCAAATAATTTGGTGCTGGCCATAAAACAACATTTCTGTCTGATCAGCCCCCTCTTCACATTTCACCTGCATATTTTAAATTTATAGCTACTGTAAATCTTCCACGTTGTAGGTAATAAAATATTGTGAACGTAATGGTTTCATCTCAGGTCTGAAGCTGCCACAAGGATTACTCTCTTTGGGCCACAGTTTGAATTTACATACTGTTTTTGAAGCAAATGAAATCATTTGAATGAATCATCCTAATTAACTTGTGAAATACTTGAATGACATCATGAGTGCTTTCAAATATTTTGAAATATTTTTAGACTATGTGGTCTCTGAAATGATTGGAAGGAAAGGAATGAAAAGTATTGTGGCATTCCTAAGTTTGTAGGTTATTTATCATTTTAGCATTTGGCAAAATGGCAGAATATTTTCAATTCCATGATCATGATATAATAAGACATGTAGTAAAGGATTAGATTCTATATCGGAATGTTTTTCTGTCCTGTGTGTGTGTGTGTGTGTGTGTGTGTGTGGTGTGTGATGGGGGTGGTGGACGTGTCAGTTTGTCAGCACAAAAACGGGAAGAAATTTGTTTATAGAAACAATAAATGGAGTAAATATCCCCTTTGATGTTGTTCACATGGGATTAGGCTTAAAGCATATTTGAGGTTGACTGGGTATCAGATCTGCTTTTCAGTTTTTAAGGGGTTCCTAATTGAGACACATCCTATCCCTTGCAGAGTCACATATCTTTCTCACCTTCTCCTGCCTCTTTCTCTCTTTTCTACTTGCTCCCCTAATCATGTCTACCTGCAAAACACGCCCTGTATTTCTCAATCCGCCTTTCCAAGGGAATGCCACTGCTTGCTACCCCATGCTCCATGCTGCAACGTTAGTAATCTGATTATTTTACATGAAGTTTGTCTTTTTGTCCTGAGAACTAAACAAAATGCAACTTTCCACTAATTAGATTAGGATCTCAATCTTTTGTGTGTGTGTGTGTGTGTGTGTGTGTGTGTGTCATGGTCGCTTTGGAATAATTTTTCAAGTGCATAAAATAAATGAGATTATAAGGAGACCAATTATATTGAAATATAGGCTTCAAAATATTTTAAAGTCTGTAAATCTGACTGAGCAACTGAGCACACACACAGTATTCATTTAAGTACTTTCAAAATAACACATTAGACAACAAGTTAGTCGCAGGTCTAGCAGCCACCGTGATTTTTGTAGTCATGATGAGATAAGCCATGTTTTGAGATAGCTACTGTAAAGGTCCATCTAGTCAAAGTCTGTCTAGTGAAAGCTATGGTTTTTCTAGGAGTCATGGATGGATGTGAGAGTTGGACCATAAAGAAAGTTAAGCACAGATGAAATGATGCCTTTGAGCTGTGGTGTTGGAGAAGACTCTTGAGAGTCCCTTGGACTGCAAGGAGATCAAACCAGTCAATCCTAAAGGAAATCAGTCCTGAATATTCATTGCAAGGACTGATGTTGAAGCTGAAGGTCCAATGCTCTGGCCATCTGATGTGAAGAGCTGACTCACTGGAAAAGACCGTGATGCTGGGAAAGATTGAAGGCAGGAGGAGAAGGGGATGACAGAGGATGAGATGGTTGGATAGCATCACCGATTCTATGGACATGAGTTTGAACAAGCTCCGGGAGTTGGTGATGGACAGGGAAGTCTGGCATGCTGCAGTCCATGGGGTCACAAAAAGTTGGACATGACTGAGCGACTGAACTGTATTGAACTGAACTGAACGACTGTAATGTGTCCTAAGAAATCTGTGATTTCTATTATTGGCAAAGTCACCAGGTCTGTTAATACTTCTGTGGTTTGTTGACTATGTTGATAATTGATGTAAATGCTACATTTCAATTAAAGGTTAGTAGAAATAAAGACATATTTTCTAAAAAAAAAAGTATGATATTTTTTATCATTTATGATTATGCCAGGACAAGTCCCCTCTTATTTCAGTGAATCTTCAGTTAACTGCCAGAGAAATTTTACCCTATATTTCTCAGACAAGGAAATTGGCACTCAGAGGCTAGATAAGTGGCAGTTGTGTTCAGTTGCTCAGTCGTGTCACTGTTGCACGTATTGCTCACTCTCTGCAACACTATAGACTGCAGCACGCCAGGTTTCTCTTTCACCATCTCCCAGAGTTTGCTCAAACTCATGTCCATTGAGTCGATGATGCCATCCAACTACCTCATCCTCAGTTGCCACCTCCTCCTCCTGCCTTCCATCTTTCCGCTTCAGGGTCTTTTCCAATGAGCTGACTCTTCATATCAGGTGGCCAAAGTATTGGAGCTTCAGCTTCAGCATTGGTCCTTCCAATGAATATTCAGGGTTGGCTTCCTTTAGGATTGATTGGTTTGATCTCCTTGCTGTCCAAGGGACTCTCCAGGTTTAGTAGAATTTAAACTCATGTCTGCATGGCTCCAAAGTCCACGTTCTTTCAACCTCACATTGTTGCTTCTTACAAAACTTGCCTGGGTCCAGAGAATAACAGACGAAGTTGTTTCAGGTAGTCGATGTATCCAAGCTTCCTAAACAGACTCCACACAATTTCAATTCTCTCATAATTCAGTGTCTACTTTATAGGGATGTGTGCGTGTCTGCTCAGCCGCTCACTCGTGTCCCACTCTTTGCGACCCCATGGACTGAAACCTGCTAGGTTCCTCTGTCCGTTGGATTCTCCAGGCAAGAACACTGGAGTGAGTTGCCATGCCCTCCTCCAGGGGGTCTTCCTAACCCAGGGATCAAACCCGCATCTCTTGAGGCT